GCGCCCGAGGTCTGAGCCCCCCCCCCCCCCCGACTGGACTCGTGTCATCACTCGTGCCCGGGCTGGTTTAGATGTCGTCGCCGCTGGCGACGCTGCCGCCGCTTTCAGCCACGCGTCTCCAGGCCGCGCTGCCTGGGCCGATGTTGCCGAGGCCGGGCCGGCGCAGATGTTTGGGGCGGAGCTGGCGGTCAGGGACACCAGAAGCAAGGGGCCTCAGCTCATGTGGAGAAGCGTTGTGGGAAGGGGCGGGCAACCCAGGTATCCTGATCATCGCGCCATCCTTAGGCTGGCAGCTCAGTTTCGTGCTTGCCATAGTATGCGCTGCTCGGACCAAGATTCAGGCTCTCAAGCTTCGGGATAGGCGCATTGCTCTGTGCCCCGCCTGCCTCTGGCAAACGTTATTCTGCCATGTTCTCTGGCGCCTTCGAACGCGTGCATGACTTTGTTTCGGCGTTGGGAGGTAGGCAGATGTCTTCGGAGCAGATCGAGTCTGCTCGAGCTCTCCTCGAATCTATTTCAGGCGCTGCCGCCCGGGCGGATGCCCCCTGTAAGGCGCGTTATCAGGCTGATTGGCGTCCGTGGCTCACCAAGGGTATTGACCAGGGTGCTCGCGATGTTCCCGCCATCGTGAAGGACCCCACCCCATGGGTCCACCTTGTCCAGGGATAGGGTCATCGTGGCCGACCCCCTCAGCTTGCTGGCCAGTGAAAGGGGGTAAGTTTTCCACGCTCGGGGGGTCAGGAGTCGGCAATCAGGGCCCCATCTCTGGTCTCCTCTCTCCCACGTGCTACGCCCGGCGAGCTCAGGGCGATCAGTAAAACAAATAAGGAGACCTCGGCTGTCACTTGCGATTGGATTTGACTGCAGGCATTCCCAGTTCTTGCGTGGTTAAGGTATCCTTGCTCTTGGCCTGCTTCTTGAGTTATTGGGGTCGCTCGGCCAGCTGCCCAGGCAGATTAGTGCTGTCGCCATGCTCACGAAACCCACTGGCGGCTACAGACCGATAGGGATGTTCTGCGCCTGGCACAGGGTGCGGGGCCGTCTCCGACGGCCCCGTGCCCTGTCATGGGAGCAGCAACCCCCCCGTCGGCGCTGGACCGCTGGCGCGTTTCGCGGAGCCTCGGATGCGGTCTGGAGGCAGCCGGTTCGCGCCGAAGCTGGTACCTCCAGGAAGGAAGTTCGCGCCAGTGTGTTCTACGACGTGCTGAAGCATTTCGAAACAATCCACTTGGGCACGCTCGAAGCTCGTTGTGTGCAAGTTTATTTTCCGCAGGTGCTCGCTCGGCTCACTCTTTTCGCTTATCGATGCGGCAGGTTCGTGTCGATAGCTGGGCTCCTGGACGGCCCATACTTCGTGGGCGACGGAGTGATAGCGGGGTGCAGTATGTCGACCACCCGTATCAGAGTGTATGCTATGTCTTCCTTTGATACCATCCCCATTGCCCCTCCCTGGAATTTGATGTGTATGTTGATGGCACGAGCATTTCATGCACCGGCTTTTCCAAACATGTTATTTCGTGTCTTGTGTCCTCTACTGCTGCGCTCCATCATGCTATCACTGCCCCCAACATTATGAATTGCCAGCTTTCTTTTGATAAAATATGCACGGCTGCCTCGTGCAAAGCATTTGGCCGTGATATTGCTTCCGTGCTTGGCCGGCTTGGAGGCGGGGTCATCGACGCTACGGTTAACCTCGGAGTGGGTTACACGGCTGGTGCTGCGATGCGCGTCTCGGGGCGCCGCTCCAAGCTCAAAGCTCGAGTTGCACTGGCTGGGCGGAAGGCTCGCCGTCTCAAACGTCAATCGGGGAATTTGGGTTGCCGGGCCCTGAGAGCGCACGCGCGCGCCCTTCTCCACGGTGGGGCGCACGGCGCGGACATTCTTGGAGCCAGCGACCAAGTTCTACTGACGATGAGAAGGCAAGCGCTCTCAACTGTTAGGCCTTTCTCGAAAGGTCGCTCTCTCGCTGCTGTCAGTATTCTGTCTGATGGTCCACGCTGGCGCGCCGCGTGTGCACCGCTGCTGAGGTTGGCCCAGACTCTGGTTCATCCTTTCTCCAGTCAGCATCCTGAGTTAAGATGTAGTTGGCCCGCTGTTCGAGGCCCCCCTTGGCGCTTCGGCGCTTCGGTTCGCGCTTGCACGCCTAGGCTGGGCCGTGGACAATTGCATCACGATTACGGGCGATCGCGGTTGCACTTTTCAGTTTGGGCCTGACCCCCGCCCCCCCCCCCCCCCCCAGCGTCGTGGAGACCTTTTGCAGGGATGCCTATCACAGGAGCCTCGAGAGGGGCTCGGGGGGAGGATGAGACATGGATTGCAGGTTTTGCCTTGATGTCCCCAAAGCGGACACCAACAATGAAAAACACCCCCGCGCAGAGAGGGTGGATCAGGGCCTGCTCTTGCGATGCCATCTGGACTGCGGACAAAGCTCTAGCGCGCGGGCATCAGGTTGACGAGTTTTTTTTCCGCTCTGTCGGCAGGCGCTTGACCGTATCTTCCACCGCTTGTGGCAGTGCTCTTTCGGCGCGGTGGATCAGCTGCGAGCCCAGCTGGCCCTTGCCTCGGTAGTCTCGGGCTCTGCGCTGGTCTGGTCAGCTGAGGCCGACAGCCACGTGGTCGCCCTCTATACTCGTGGAGCTTTCGCTCATCCCGCCGATGTCTTGCCGCGTCCTGCCGTGGGGGCGCCAACGCTTTGCTGCGCGCTTGACATGTTGACGAGCTTCAGAGCCCCGAGGGCCCCGTGGCCCCAGCCAGCGGTAGGATGTGGGGCCACCTCATCCTTGCTGGGTCCTGCCAGCGCCACTTAGTTCGTGAGCTGTCCCGTGCTGCGTGGTGCATGTCTATGAATTCGGATGATGCGAAGTGCCTTGGAGAGGTTCGAGGAGGCGGGCGCGCCCCTACGTGAGATGCGCACGCCTCAAGACGCCTCCAAAAGCACCCCCCCCCAGATGATCTCAAGAGACCACATCCGTTACATTCCTGTAGGCGGAACATATGCTGTTGAACAGATACGGCTTGGGTGCCCAGACACATATATATACACATACATGTTCAGCGTGTACACGTACATATGCGTGGTCTAAAGCATGTACCGTTTGGCGATACGTCCATCTACACATACATATGCATATACCTGCGCCGACACGTATACATATACACATACATACGCATACACAATATACACGTGCTTGTCACTTTGCAGGCACATACACATATAACCATACATATACCTAAACGTATACATAGACACATACACATATTCACATACCCATGCATCTACACATACATATACCTATACATACACAGCTATAGGGCGACGACGACGTCTTGGCCCATCCTTAGGTCGCTGTTGGATGGCTGCAGGCGGTATTGAAAGACATTTGGGCCGTTGGCGTAGTTCTTGGGCTCCCCAGAGGGATTGGTCTCAACATAGAGATCTTCAAAATTCGACCGTGAAGCCTAGCGAGAACCTAAGCGCGCGTGGTTTTGATATATATGTATGTACATATATATATATATGTGTATGTATGTATGTATATAAAAATGTGCATATATGTATATATATATAATGTTGGCATCCAGCCAATGCCGCCGATCCGGGGGAGGGGTTTCCCGCTGCTGTTGGCAGCAGTCCTGTGCGTTCCTTCTCGTTCCCCCTCTGCCTGTCATTTCTGTCCTCCCCTGTCGTCCCTCCCCCCCGCCTCCTTCGTCCGTATTGTTTTCTCCTCTTTCTTTGCTCCTGCTTTGCAATCTCTTTTATTTTCTGTCTTGCCTGTGCTCCCACCTTCTTCAGGACCGCGGAGTGGAAAGCGGAGCACATCGCCCCCCCCCCCCAAAGAGCGGAGTTACGACGGAGTGGAAAGCGGAGCACATCGCACCCCCAACCCCCCTCCCCCACAGAAAGGAGCTGCGACGGAGTGGAAAGCGGAGCACATCGCACCCCCCACCCCCCTCCCCCACGGAGCGGAGCTGCGACGGAGCGGAAAACGGCGCACATCGCATCCCCCTTCGCACACACACAGCGGAGCTCGAGCGAAGCTCAAGCCCACGCTATTTCAAACTCGCACGCCGGATCGGCGGATCTACATATATAGATACATATATATATATGTATAAATATGTATGTATGTATGTATGTATGTATGTATGTATGCATGCATGCATGCATGCATGTATGTGCGCGTCTCTCTCTCTCTCTCTCTCTCTATATGTGCGTGTGTGTGTGTGTGTATGAGCTCGTCTTGAATCTGTGCTCCGAACTTGGATCTGCGCTCAAAGCTCCGTTCGGACTGGGAGCCGTCGCTGCGCCGGCAGGCTGTTGGATTCGCCCTACGTGTTCACAGTTCACAGTCGTTTTGTTGCCGCACGGGATGCCATCGCGACAGCCGCCGACAAACAAATGCGCGAGGGTGAGTCTGCTTGTGTGCTTTCCTGCGGATCGCCGTCCCGCATTGGACCTCTGTCGCGCAGGCGCCCTGCAGGCCCCCTGCCCACGGATGCGTCTCCACGGCGCGCGCCAGTGGACGCCCGCCGGGGGGTGGCGTCCCCACGTCGTAGGCCCTCCGAGGTGCGCCTCGTCGAGGGCCTCCGCGGCCTTCGGCGGCGCCGTCGTCGCCACCGATGTCGCCGCTGTAGCCATCGCCCATCGCCGGCGGTGTCGCCGCGGGCGTCGTCGTCGCCGCTGTCCTCGCCGTCGCCGTAACCGCGGTCTGGTCATAAGTTACCCATCAGCAAGAATATCCCGTTGACAGTAGTTGTGCCCTCCTTCTCGTCTCGATTGCGCACTGGTATGTGCCTCGCGCGGAGCGCAAGAAGGTCTTTATGTGTGCACCCACGCCCGTGTGTGCGCGCGCACGCGCGCGTGTGTGTGTGTGTGAGTGTGTGTGTGTGTGGGTGGGTAGGTGTGTGTGTGTGTGTGCGTGCGTGCGTGCGTGCGTGCGTGCGTGGTCTCGCTTGTGTGCGCTCGTGTGTTTGGTTTGACTGCTCGCCGAGCGCCGAAGGTGAAATCAAGTTGTCAAAGGGCCTGGCCGGCGTCGTGACGGAGGGGAGTTTGTTTTATCTGCCTCGTTCTCTCGGCGTCATGTCTCTCAGGGGCGGAGGAGGGAGCCTCGCTTGGCACACGCGAAGATCCGGGCGGGCACCGCGGCGGGGCACAGGCGAAAACGGGAAAGCGGGAGTTCGTTGTGTTCCCGTGAAGTGCGTTTTGAGGGCATATCGGGTCTTAAAGGGAGGGGTGAAGAAGAGGGGCACTGAAGCCCTTGGCCCTCCTACTCCCATTCGCACTCATCCGTTTGGCCCTCCTTCTCCCGCTTTTGCTCCTACTGATCCTGCTCCTGCTGCTACTGCTCCCACTCGTATTCTCACTCTTGTACATAGGGGTTTTTGGTTTCGAGCTCCTAACTCATTGTTCTGCTGCTTGTGACCACCCCCATCCTACCATCCATAGAAAAAAGGGGGCTGTGTTCACCGGATTCCTAACACCTGGTGGTAGCACACATCGATATGGCATACCACTGAATAGCATGTACACGAACGTCCTTGCTTCTTACGCGTCGTACTCCCACTCCATTTGACTTCGCCTTGTTAGTAACCCCAAGAGGAGCGTTCCCTCCGACACATCAAGAACCACTACGAAGTTGGCATGTCAGCACGGACAGGATGTCGCCGCTTGTGAAGATGCGTGTCATGAAAGGGACGCGGTACGCTCCCGCCTCAGCGGCGCGCAGATTCTGATTGAAGTGTGCGCATCCTTTCTTAGACAGCGTTTTTTTTTCTGCGCGCGAATTTGCCGCAAGGAGGGCCGCGTGTGAGAGAATGAAGTACCGCCTCGTCTCATTGTCTCGCAGCTGACTCTGCAAAGTTGCGATCCCGCTTGTGCACGGCGTATCGGCTGTTATTTCTTTATTTCGTTCGTTCTCTCTCCCTCTCTCTGTCTCTTTGTGTGGTCGCTCTCAAACCAGTCAGTCAGGTACGGAAGCCATTGACGATGCCTTACCATGAGGAAGCGCCCCAACTACATAGTTGTGGAAGCCCAGCGCTGCGCATACGCAAGCCGACAAGCAACACGTTTCTTGCATTGAGAGCAACGGAGCCCTTTCCGTGGTGCAGGACCTACAGTGATTCCCCCATGCACCCTACACCCCGTGCGAACGCTATTAACACGCATGCGCCAAGCCCATGCCCGCACGCATGCTTCTCGTTATGGCCATGGTCCTTGTATTTCGGAGTATGTCAATACCGTTGCTTATCATATTCGTATGTGTGCGAATGTCCGTACTCGTACTTCAAGGGTCAGCATGACAATCATTATTACCAGCATTGCTACTAGTAGCACGACGACGGCTCCAGAAGTAGCTATTATTGCGATCACCCCTATTATTACCGCTACTATTTCTACGACGACGGCGTTCACTTTACGATTTCTACGGCTGCTATTCCCAACATTGTGATTACGACTACAATTGTTACAACTACCGCTACTCCCACGAGGAGGGGGATGGAGGGAAGGGGAGTACGAGGGAGGAGGTAGGCGCATAAGGATCACGAGGGCGTGGGTGCGGCCTAGCAGACTGGGTTCAGGGGAGGAGATAGACGGCGAGGGCGACGCCGATATCGAGTTCGACAAGGCCAGCGCTGGAGGGGGCCGTACTCCACTCCAGCCCCTACAGTCAAGGCGCTGAAACGAACACTGCTTTGGGCTCGGGGGGGTTCTCTGGTTTCCGGGCCGCTCTTGAGATCTAGGTCGGGGAACCTATTCGAAGCCGAGGCTCGCCCTGGCCAGAACAGCTCCTCCGTTCCTGATCCAACGGCCCTGAGAACAGCTCGAGGGCTGCACTCCAGCCGTCGCGACTCTACCACGATGGGCGTTCTCTTTTGCCATTCTGGCGACCAGAGGATGGGGGGGGCTTTGTCGGGGCCCCGAGGCCATCAGCAGTTCGGCCCGCGGCGAAGGCCCCTCCGCCGCGAGGTGGCGCTGGACTGCCAGGGTTGGGAGGAGGCGGGGCTTCAGATCGCCCACCTGTCGGGCTGTGTCCTCAGAGCCACCGCCTAGACGCCTTGCAGGGCGTTCTGTTCTGGCAGGCGCGTTGATTCCCACTGTGCCGATGTTTTTCGTGACTTGGAGGAGGAGTGCGGGCCCCCCCCGCACATCGAAAGCAAGGAAGGATATCTCGAGCAGTTTGACACGGGGCCTCCCGCCAAATTCAGGTGGCAGCTTCCCAGGGGTGTGGTTTGATTTCCCCGCGCGCATGTCAGATATGGCGCGAGCGCGCCTAGTTTGCCTCTCCCCCTGTTTCTCCTCACCCTCATCCACCCTCCCCTTCTTACCCCTCCCTCCTCCGCAATCCCTTTTTCTATAACCCTGTCGCACATCCAGGCGTGTCAGTAGGGTGGGCCAGGCGTTTCGCGTTAGCTGCTCTCGCCATGTATTTGCGGAGTGAATCACGGATGGAGAGCGGGTGGTGTTCATCATGTTGGTCTCGCCTTCGCGCCGCGCGCATTTGTTTGAAATGTTTACAGCAGCTTCCAGGATGGAGGTCGGGTGAATTAAACAATGTGGCTCTCGCTTTAACGCCATCAGTTTCAAGAACTGAGGGCGGGCCCTTTTCAAAATGTTTTTCTTGCCGTCGCGCCGCGCCCTCTCGTTTTTCAAAGTTTGCAAACGTTCAGAAGGATCGGATGGATGAAGTATCACGAAAAGAGTCCTGACACGGTCTAGGGATGTCAGGACGCGACAGTCCCCCTGATTCGTAGAGATGATGCCCCAGGGACGGCGCTCTGGCGCGATTTAGGACTGCTAGGCCTCAACAGTCACGTTGGTTCGCGGCGCTGGATTTCCAGGAATGGTGTTTTGGCACGATGGAGGATTCTTAGACAGTCTCTTGTTCTCCATCGGGGCATTCCCGGCATTGAAGATAGTTCTGGTAGTGCCTTGCAAAGGGGCACCATGGCGGGAGGGTTTACTGCAACATCCTTGGTGTGTCTTGGGTTTGCAATGGTCCTCCCGCTCCCCACTCGTCCCCCCTCCCCCCACCCCCCGAGGTCGGGGGGGCCTTCATTTTCAAGGAGAACTGGGGCAAGCTGAAGAAGCTCTGAGGGGGGCGCCGTGGGAGGCCCGCCGGCCGCAGAGCGCGCCACCACGGCCCAGAAGGCCGAGCCGAGCCCTGCGCCCCTCCTGCGCGGGCGGCCCCCCCCTGGGCCGCTGGGGGAGAAGGCGAGCCCGGAGCGCAGCTGGTCGAGCGGCCTCGCGGTGGCGCCCCCTTTCCCTCGCCTGCTGGTGCAGACGGGAGGGAGGAGGAGGAGGAGGAGGAGGAGGAGGAGGAGGAGGAGGAGGAGGAGGAGGAGGAGGAGGAGGAGGAGGGAGGAGGAGGAGGAGGAGTAGGAGGAGGAGAGAGGAGGAGGGAGGAGGAGGAGGAGGAGAGGAGGAGGGAGAGAGGAGGAGGAGGAGGAGAGGAGGAGGAGGAGGAGGAGGAGGAGGAGGAGGAGGAGGAGGAGAGAGGAGGAGGAGGAGGAGGAGGAGGAGGAGGAGGAGGAGGAGGAGGAGGAGGAGGAGGGGAGGAGGAGGGAGGAGGAGGAGGAGGAGGAGGAGGAGGAGGAGGAGGAGGAGGAGGAGGAGGAGGAGGAGGAGGAGGAGGAGGAGGAGGAGGAGGAGGAGGAGGAGGAGGAGGAGGAGGAGGAGGAGGAGGTGAGGAGGAGGAGGAGGAGGAGGAGGAGGAGGAGGAGGAGATGGAGGAGGAGGAGGAGGAGGAGGAGAGGAGGAGGAGGAGGCGGAGGAGGAGGAGGAGAGGAGGAGGGAGATGGAGATTGGGAGAAGGAGAAGGAGGAGGAGGATGAGGAGGAGGAGGAGATGGAGAGGAGGAGGAGGGAGGAGGAGGGGAGGAGGAGGAGGAGGAGGAGGGAGGAGGAGGAGGAGGAGGAGGAGGAGGAGAGGGAGGAGAAGGAGGAGGAGGAGGAGGCGGAGAAGAGACAGAGGGAGTGTCAGGGCACCTCCTGGTCCAGTTGGGAGACCGGGGCCACGATGCCTCCTCTGGGGGGCGTCTCCGAGCTCCGCTCCGCTCTGCTCCGTGGAGCCAGACGGGAGGAGAGCGGGCGAGGTGGAGGAGGAGGCGACGGGCAGGGCGCACTGGTGCCGAAGGTTCGCAGGAACTGGTAGGGCGTCTTTGATCTGCGTGGGTGATGGTCTTTTCCATCAGCTGCTGTCAGGCTTCGCCCCAACGCGATGGGTCTGGGCGTCTTCAATCTGCGTGGGTGATGGTCTTTTCCATCAGCTGCTGTCAGGCTTCGCCCCAACGCGGTGGGTCTGGACTGGATTGGGTCATCCTCATCATCATCATCATCATCATCATCATCATCATCATCATCATCATCATCATCATCATCATCATCATCATCCCTCCTCGTGCTCTTTGCCTTACCCTCCCTCCATCCTCCACGTTCCTCCTCGTACTCCGCCAACACCTTGGAGCTCGGAACCGCGGACCCTTGGTTCTCTCCGTGGGGATGCGGCCCTCGAATACAGAGCTTCTGGAGACGCCACCCCTCAGGAGGGAGCTGCGGCATCGGCAACATACCGGCAGCCCCCGAAAGCCGGGACGGTGAGCCGCCAGGGCGCGCCGTGAGGCCAGATCTCCAAGCGATCGTGGGGCGAGCCCTTCCCCAAGACAGCCCCAAAGGGGATGCCCCTTGGCGGGAGCTGCAGGTCATCAGAGCGTGCATTACCTACCCCGCTTTCGCTTCCAGGCAAAACCAAGCCATACCACGCGCCCCCTCGTCAAGCGGCCTGACCAGTACAGGCTGCAGTTTGGCATCGTTTGGTGTCTCTCGGAAGCGAGGGTGGTCAAAAGCGAGGTAGGTTTGTTTTCCCCCTACTTCCCCAAGGCGACCCCAAAGGGGATGCCCCTCTCGGCGGGAGCTGCGGGTCAGCTCCCCCCGCCCTGTCCTCAAGGCCGCATCTCCTCTGGGCGGGCGCGGCAGCGCCTCCGGAGTGCGCGGCACGGCTCGCGCAGGGTGCCGCCGCCCCGCCCTTCGGCGGCGCACGGTGGGCGGCCCTGGGGGCGCGGCGGACACAGGCCGTCGCGGGCGCCCCGCTCCAGGTGGAAAGGGGAGGGGGAGTTGTTTTTTTGCTTGTTCACATGAGGCAATCCTCGCGGCCATGCTTGGGTAATGAACCCTCTGGAGGGGAGCGCAGGTGCACACATTGCCCTAGAGGAGGAGGAGGAGGAGGAGGAGGAGGAGGAGGAGGAGGAGGAGGAGGAGGAGGAGGAGGAGGAGGAGGAGGAGGAGGAGGGAGGAGGGGGGCAGCTGGCTGCGCGGCAGTCGCCGGGATGCCAGGTGGTGGGAGCTTCAGGTCGCGACCCCAAACAGAGTTGCAGTCGACCTCGGTCGCGTTGCCGCAGGGCGGACGAAGCGCTGTCGTCGCTGCGCCAGGGCAGTAACGATTTCGGGCCTGGAGACGGCGGTGAGGAGAAAAGTGAGCGGCTGCGTCTCTGGTTCCCCATCCGATTCCCAAGCCTCGGGCCATTGTCTATGTCAGGGGCGGCCCCTCATTTCTTCACCGGGGCCGAGCACGTTGGCAAAGACGCCACACATCTCGCAAGCTTGGGACCCCGACACTGAAGCAGACTGGGTGTGCGGGACGGGAAAATGACCACAGCCACTGCTTCTTGCTTGTGCCGCCTTCCAGCCGGCCGAAAGAGAAGCAGTGGTTGTGGTCATTTCCCTGGTGCCGAGCTCAACGACAATGCCCACAACCACTGCTTTGTTGTGGCGGGCTGGAAGGCGGCATCGAAAGAAAAGCAGTGGCTGTGGTCGGTTTCACGCCCCGTAGGGTGGCAGGCGCAGGAGGCCGGGCACGCCGAGGCCGCAGGCGCTCTCGCTCTTGGTGCGCGGGCCGCGCCGCCGGCGCCCGCGCCGCCTCCTGCGCCGCCCCCTTGGCCGCCCTCTTAGGAGGAGGACGACGAGGACGAGGACGAGGAGGAGGAGGAGGAGGAGGCGGAGGCGGAGGATTGAGCGCTCGCCGCCCGGCCTCGCCTCCGCCCACCCGCGCCTGCACCGGGGGCACTCGCCAGCGGCTCCGCAGCGTGCCCGCCGCGGCCTTGCCGCTGCCCGGGCAGCTCCGCGGTCGCGTGCGCTTGGGGGCCTGCTCCCCCGCGTCGTCGTGCTCCGCGCGGTGCGCCTCGGCCGCGATCCTCCGCCCCGTGCTCCGAGTCGTGGCCGTCGCAATTCAGGCGGGTGCCCGCGTCGCGTGGAGCCCGGTGGGGGGTGTGCCTGCTGCCCCCGCCAGCGCCGCGCTCGCTGTCCTGGCCGTTTCGCTCCGCGTGGTGCGCCTCGGGCGTGCCTGCGGCCTGGTCGTCGAAGCAGCTCTGCGGCCTGCACAGCTTCGCACGGGGTCGGGCGTCCAGCGGGGTCGTTTCCGAGGTGTGTGCATGTGGCTGTCTGATCTGCCGAAGTCGGTGATCAGACCAGGCACGAAGGGCTGGGCCTCTGGGTTGAGCTGCGGCCCCGTTCCGCTCACCTCCGCAGTGGCAGCTTCGAGAAAGTCATTTACCGAGACCGTCGCGATGTGACGTTTGACGTGATAGGCATTCTCGAGCCGGATGAGTTTGGCAGCAGGCTTACCGTCGATGAGCTTCTGATTCCTCAGTATGCGCGCAGCTTGAGAGAGTCCGTGGTGATGCACTCCGAGTCTCGCCACGATCACCCGCGCAAGGTTTCCATGAAGGTCACTGCAGATGGTGTGGGGCGCAGCCGCGATGGGAAGAGAGGAGAGACGATGCGAATATCGTCCCTTGGTATGGAAGAGGTGGAAAACAAAGAGAACTGTTGCGTGTAAGCAGAAGCCTGAACAGGCGATGCCGGTGCCTAGCACGCCAGGGGTGCAACCGCCTCCAGCGAGCCTTGAGCCGAAAATGTCCACTGGCCCACCAGTCCCTTCCTCCTCCCCCTCCTCGTGCCAGACGTGCCCCGCGGATGCGCGCCGGCAAGCAATATTTTTCAATACACGCGCTCGGCGCCCCCATCGGGTCAGACGGAAGGGGCGGATTGGGAGAGGGGGGTCGCGACATCTGCTGCATGCAGCTGGTTTCGGCCTGGGCAGTTTCTCTGACGCGATGACGCTGACGCCTCACTCGTCAAGAGGAGCTATGAGAATCAGCTGCGTCAGCTGATTCGCTACCCCCTTTCTGCTGACCCCCCTTTTTTGCCCGATCCCTCACGAGGAAACTCCTGGAGGCCTCGCGCGGCGCGCAATCGTTGTAGTATCTTGTATCTTGTCCACACGTCCGCCCCCTCAGGTATGGGACGGCGTTCGCGCGGCGATACTCTGACGTAGGAAGTCCGACGTGCATTCGACGTGAGCCCAGCATAAATCGACGTGAGCGGATCCGACGTGACCAGTACAGTCGGGGCCTTGAAGAAGGAACCCTTTTCGTTGGGGAGGGGCTCCGCGTTCCTGAAGTGTTTCACAGCTTGCCTCAGGTTTTCCTAATGTTTCCGATCGGAAATGTAAGTTTAGTTTATGGAAAAAAGAAGCCGCGTTCCGTATTTAGGGTTCCTTAGGTCAACGCCCCGACTGTATCCCAAGTTGGCGCGCGAGGCCCCCCCGGAGCTTCCTCGCACGACCTCCGCCCCAGCACTTTGAACGGCCGCGGGCCCCCCCAGTGCCGCAGGCGCGAGCGCGCGCGGGCGCCGCAGGCGCGGGCGCGCCTCCTCCTCCTCCTCCTCCTCCTCCTCCTCCTCCGCCTCCTCCTCCTCCTCCTCCCTCTCCTCCTCCTCCTCCCTCCTCTCATCATCATCATCATCTTCGTCCTCCTCCTCTTCCCCTCCTCCCTCCTCCTCCTCCGCCTCCTCCTCCTCCTCCCCTCCATCTCCTCCTCCTCCTCCTCCTCCTCTCCTCCTCCTCCTCCCCTCCTCCTCCTCCTTTCTCCTCCTCCTCCTCCTCCTCCTCCTCCTCCGCCTCCTCCTTCTCCTCCTCCTCCTCCTTCAGCCTTACTGGATCAGGTCCTTCGCCGCTGGGCCGCGCGCCGCCTCGCCCTCGCGCGCTCGCCGTGGGCCCGATGCCATGGGGCGACAGGCGGACGCCGCGTCGCCCAAGAGGCGGCCCTCGGCGCGCTCCTCGCCTCGCACGCCGTCTCTGGGCTGGCTGCCGCGCACTCCCTTGCGGGCGCGCGGCTGCCGCGAGCGGCCGAGGGGCTCCTCTGCGCGGCAGCGGCCTTGCTCGGCGCCCCCGAGGCGTCGCCTCCGCCCGCGCCCGCTGCCGCCAAGGCAACGGCCCGCCCTCGGCGGCGCCGACGGCGGCGCGGGCGCGGCGGCGCTGGCGGCACTCATGGCGGGCCCGTGCAGAGCACTGGCGACGCGACGGCGGTCGAGATGGTGGACGCGACGACGCGCGGACGAGCTCCCCGCGCTGCTTGGTGGGCGGATGGCGGCGGACGCGGCTGGCGCGTGCGGGCTAGTGCTCTCGGCGCGGCTGAGGGCGGAGCTCGCTGGAGCGACGGCGGCGCACGACACGCGCCGCATCACCGCCATCATCAAGGAGGCCGCTGGCTCGGCGCGGGGTGGTGGCAGTCATGGACGGTCGGGGCCTGGGCCGTTTGGCAGCTAGTGAGCCGTACGCACTCACCCCACGCTCATGGTTCTCGTCTTCGGCGTGAACCTCCCCGCGCCCCTCAGAGGCGCCGCCCTCCATGTTCTTCCTGATGGGGGCTGTCCGTCACTTCGGACGTCCCATTCTTCGCTCGGAACCTCCTCCTCCGCCTCCTCCTCCTATTCTTCCTATTCCTCTTCCTCCTCCTCCTCCTCCTCCTCCTTCACCTCCCCTTCCTCCTCCTCCTCCTCCTCTTCCTCCTCCTCTTCCTCCTCCTCTATCTCCTCCTCCTCCCCCTCCCCTCCTCCTCCTCCTCCTCCTGCACTCCTCCTCCTCCTCCTTCCTCCTCCTCCTCCTCCTCCTCCTCCTCCTCCTCCTCCTCCTCCTCCTCCTCCTCCTTCCTCTCCTCCTCCTCCTCCTCCCCCCCCTCCCCCCCCCCCGCTGGCCGGCGCACCGGCGGCCCTCGCGGGCGGGTCCGCGGGGCGCGGGGCCGAGGAAAATGCCCGCGCGCGGCGCAGCAGCGGCCGCCGCGGCGGTGGCCGCGGCGCCTGTGCGCGGCGGCGGCCCCCTTCACGGCCCCTCCCAGGAAGAAATTCGAAATCTGGGAAGGGGGGTAATTGAACATCAAGAATCAGGAGCGACAGAAGGACGTACACGTACATAAATCCACGTTGGTTTCGAGAGTGCGCATCGCGCAAATGTTCTTATAACGCGGCCGGTCTCGCGGATCGAGGGGCCGTGTTCATGTACATTGCTGGGCGCGTACGTCCTTTGTGGGCTCCCTAAAGAACATTGGAGAAAAGATTTGTAAGATTCGGATTTCTATGAATTAACGTGTGTGTGTGTGTGTGTGCGTGTGCGTGTGCGTGTGCGTGTGCGTGTGTGTGTGTGTTTTCCCTCCTGAATTTCTGGCTGCGGTTCGCTCCTGGATGGCCCTCGGCTCCTCGGCCCTGGCTTCTCGTTCTCCCGCCTCGTCTTCGGGGTCTCCTGGGGCCTGGCGAAGGCCCCCCCGAAACCGAACATTTGGACACACCTCCGTCGTGTCCCTCGATGCGTGGGAGGCCTGGGCCCCCGACGGAGACTAGCAGGCTCCAGAACCAGAGGCCCCTCAGATAGGGTCGGAGGATCGCGCCGCATCGCCGCTGCATCGCCGACGGATCGGCGATGCATCGGGCGCCGCCGGCGTGGAGAAAGTCGGCCGCCACGCCGAGCCGCATAGCCGATGCATCGGCGACGGGGGCGCCATCCTCCGACCCCCACTTGCACGCCGACCCCAGATGCGAGGCCCAGACTGGGCCCAGGGACACACACACACACACACACACAGGCACAGTGAATCGTCGACTCCCAGGAAAATATTCAAAAACAATGGGAAGTGGGGGGGGAAGGCAGAAATCCAAAAAGTTGGCGTCGAGCGG